CAGCAGCACCGCCACCGCCACCGCCACCGCCACCACCGCCACCACCACCACCGCCGCCGCCGCCGCCACCACCACCACCACCACCACCACCACCACCACCACCACCACGACCACGACCACGACCACGATGACGACCATGACGACGACTACCACCGACTACCGCTACTACCACCACTACCACTGGTAGTAGTACTACCACTACCACTACCCCTACCCCTACCATTACCACTACGACGACTACCACTACCACTGCCACTGCCACTGCCAATGCCAATACCACAACAACAACAACAACAACAACTACTACTACTACTACTACTACCACCACCACCACCACCACCACCACGACAACCACTACCACCACTACCACGACCATTAGGACCACTACGACGACCACCACCACCACAATTACTCATACGATTGTTTGCAAAAAGTACTGTTACGAGTATGATCACTATGAACCCTTTTGTTACTTCTGTTACTGTTCTGGCTCCATAGTAAGGACTTAGCAAAGGCCACGGAGCTGGACTCGCTAACTGCCATGCGCTCGTCAAGCATGGCTCCCAACACCTCGCTCTTGGCAATGTGAACACCTTACTGATGGGTTATGTTCCCAGATTCCCTACAACCACCAGCAAGTCATGGCAACCCCAACAAATGAGCTCTTCACGTCACACTGTGCACCCCTCCTGGTTCTGAGTAAACCTGAAAGTTTGAAAGGCAAAGCTCTCGCTCCTGCAAAGCTGGGCGCCACTTGCTGCCAGTCTGTAGAGCGCCAAGAACCTCAACTCATCATGCTACACACATCCTCTGTGTGGCAGGTGGACTCGTGCCGTTACATACCGTTAGTATAGAATCTCATTTGCTCACTCCCCTGGCGACCCTACCTGCATACCATGTTACGGAGGGTGGTCGCTCGGATGTATTTGATTCTGATGGAGATCCCTGATGCGCCACATGTGGGACTCCTGACATAAAGCATGGGAACCTACAATCTTGGTGGCAAGGACAAGACATGGCAACTTGAAAAGGCTTACAAGAGCTGACTTGTATCTGAACTCAGAAGCCTTCGCCGTGCATGAGACCAGAAGTTCAGAGTAATGATGGTTCTGCGCTGTCAAGTTCCTTGTAAGCCACGAAAGGTCAATTGTCAAAAGCAGGGGTGTTTTGGCTATCTGAAACACTAGGGGCTGCATCATGCGAGATTACAGATGTAAAGCTATGACCCCATATTATGAAGGCCGCAGACGCAATTGAAGCTGACATCGTCAGGCATCAGGCGACGCATTGGCATCCAGCCCTGGCACAATGACCCATGCCGCAAGGACATACTAGAGCACTCTTCCTCGTATTTGAGTTCCTACTCCGAGACGAGTGTGTAATAGTTTTCCTGTTTTGTGGGCGGCAATTGAAGCAAACTGCCGGTCATAACCTGCAGCGTTAGGAGTCTTCAAGAGCAGGCCGGCGTCTGCTTCAGAGGGGCTGGTACTGCAATTACAATTACACACAACATCTTCCTTGCATGACACAATCTGCACAGGGACCCCAAATGCACGCGTGCGCGCACGCAAAACACATTTTTGGACAGGGGCAGGGATTTGTTTAGCCGTGTAGGGGTCATGGCTGCTTCATCTATCGCAGAACAGGACAAAAGCGAAGGTCCACAAATACGACACGCGGATGTACTTGTGGAAGGCAAAGAGGCAAAGAGGTTGCATCAACGCTTCGCATCATGCAGAGTCCGAACCAAGCCGAAGCTACAGGTGCACTTCACAAACCCGCAGCAAGGCAGTGATGTTGCTGGTTTCTCCTGGCAAATATGTTCTTGGACTAAGCTGCAAATCGCTTTAGTTTGCTCTCACACCTCTGTAATCCCCTCACCCTGATATTAAACACCCCCACCCTCCTAAGGTTCAATACTCTACACATAGTATAACAAGACTATATATACCACAATACCACAATGAAAAGTATTTAATATCAGGGGGGAGGGGTGGTTAATAGTAGGGGGTGGATTAAGGCTTTTAAGACCAAAGGGCAAAAAGAAACGAGGACGCCGTGCGCCAGCAGCCCGCGCGCTCGAGGCCCTGTCGCAGTCTGACGAGTGATACATCTTGGGGCATCCAAACAGGTGTAATCTAAGGGATCCAAATAGCCCAATGTAGTAATAGTTACAGACTTCAGGGCTCAATGTAAGTATTATTTGTATACTTGGATCCCCAGGGTAACCTTAGATTTGAAAAGCTGCATCGTACAGTGAGCTTTTGGATCATTTTCAGCTCGAGGACTTACCGCGCTCAGAGCTTTCGCCTGTTGGCCCTTCGCCAGAACTGCAACGAACAATGAGGCCTCTCAAGCCTGCAGGAGTGTAGGGATCCTGCCCCACTTCCTCATGATCTGCCTGGTGCTTTGCTGGGACTAACTGCCGCCATGCACTCATAAGCCCTGAACCATGCAAAAACCCTAAATCCTATCCGACTTAACCTCTACAAAATGCTAAGAGCCCAGGGAGGTGCCCCTTTGCCTTGGTGACAGTCGCGGTGCTTTGTGCGTCGGCCAGGTGGCTGTGTAACAGAGAGGCGGCAAGCCTGAGGCACCATGGGGGCAGTTCCCAACATTAGGGCCCCTTTTGCATTGGTAACCCTGAAATTAGGTGCTGTTTTCTAATCTATAACCTAAAGGGGCCCATCATTTTGAGAACAATCCATGAGGGATAGTAGAGTATACCGTGATTGTACAAGCCTTCACAGAAAAGTAGTCTTTGGATGCGAGTATGAAGCATGAATCCTGAAGATCAAGAACAGAAGCAAGCTTGCAGCAGAACATACGGCTGGCCCTGAAAGAGATGTAGCCATGTCCCGATGCTAGGTCCAAGTTTCTGCCAGTGAGTTCCGCGATCGCAGGCTTGCAGCCGGCAATTGAAACCTCGAAGTGGCTGGTGAGATCCCCAAATGGAGCTTAGGATGACGGTATGCTTGGGCGTTGTTCAGAGTTCTATAACTTTTCACAATCAACCATTCATGTCTCCCTCTGCACGTGCTTTTTGCTCAACTCACCGAAGACACGTTTTGCATCAATGCCGCACTAACAGAGGCGCAGTCTTCTTGAGACACCCATGCCCGAGAACTCGTGACTTACACACATGGGGGTGTCTCAAGAAAGGCAGCCCTTAGGGATCCAACCCATTTAGGGATTAGGGATAGATAGGGATTACACAGGCGATATGGGGTCCTATGCAAGATCATATACGGCGACTCTAGGGCCTACTTTGAGAAACTCCCACACCTACTTTCCTTGGGGTATTTAATGGTTTTTAGTAGGGAATATAACCCCCACAAGGGGGTTGTTCAATATTCCTTTTCCTGGAAATGGCTCTTTTGTGTACCCTATCGCGCCACTTTCGCGAACACCGTTGAACTGACAATTTGCTGAGTGATCATGTACTATCAATCAAAAAAATACTCAGGCTTCCTTTAGCGGCCTTCATTGCAAGGAATAAGTTGGACCACAGCTAACCCTTCGCGAATCCTTTCGCGTTCGCTTCTCGCGCACCATTCTTTGCATTTGAAACAACCCATGAGTTGCCGTCCATGCAAGATTTCAGATAGGTGTTTTTGAGCGACTGCATATATAATACATTCCCATCCCCAGTTTCAAAAAGTCCTATAGTAGTTTCCAATTCATTTCCCTTATCTTTATACAACCTCTATATAACCAATTATAACCCCTACATAAAATACCCTAAATACCCCTATAATAGCCCAATATACTCAGGGGATAGGAGGGAACAACTGCTGGGCAAGGAGCTGACCAAGCTCGACTGCAGACTCAGCCGGCTCGAGCCTGCTAACACCTGCTGGACTTAGGTTTAAGGATTGGAGGTTAGGTTTAGGGCTTAGGATGATAGGGTTAAGGGTTGAAGGATTAATTTCAGTTGAAGGTTTCCCAAAACTACGGATACCTTTAAAGGGGCTATATAAGGATGTATAAGGTTTACTGTAGGGTCTATGTAGGGTTTCCCAAAAGTAGGGTTCTGTTTTTTGGGGGAGGGGGCCATAATAAGGAAATGTAATATTTTGT